AGAATCAATCAACATGTTACATTGATTCGTGACCTAGTGTCTTAAATAATACACTCCCTATGTCATTTGGGCATATGGAGTATTCTCATCCTCAATGGCTGGTTAATCACAGTTTTATATGCTTATAGAGTTTCCTTTTCGTTAAACTAATTCCGAGCAGTTTTTACTTCATAAAGGCTTTTGTCTGAAGTTCCTGGCAATATGTTGAAACACCTACTGTGCTAGAGTTTACTTCTTCCTTTATGGGGAATCAGATGTGTAATCAACTCTTAACTGTTTGAATTCTTATAGATTTATATTAGAAGGAGGGAATTGGTGTCTCCATACTATTTGGTCTGCGATTACATAATTCCTGGATGTTACTTTTAGTTGTTTATCTGTTTGGTTCAAATTCCATCGCCAATTGAAGAGCTAGCCTTAAAGATGGGCACATAATTTTCTTTAGTCTAATCCTCATTTTCATGGAGAGCAAGTTTAGCTAAGGTATCATCCTTCTTTTTACTATACTCCTAAACTTCCCACTGATCTAACACTCCAAATCTACTTAACAAGGTGGCTACCAATTCTTAATAGTTTTACAGTTCTCAGATGAAAGATTCTTTAATTTCACTAAAGCTGGTTCTTTAAAATGAGCAACAAGATGATTCTCTTGTTGTTAAATATTCTATCCACTCACCTTGGAAGTTATTTCAAACTGAAGGTGATATGACTATTATTGTGTCTTTCTTTCATAATATATTGTTTTCTCGATTGGGAGATATTGTTGAATTGGCCTACTAGGTTATGTCACTTGATGTAGTAGTAATATATCTTGAGTAGTCCAAGAAGGTCTTGGAGTCATATATGTGTGGTATTCTCAGATTCAGTGATTTCTTCGTACTATAATGGATAGGAACTGCCGAATAACAGTAAATTAGACAAAAACTGTATCATGAATTTTTCTAACTTTGACTGAGTCTGACAGAAAGTAAGAGAATGAACATTAGTTTGCATATAATCACAATCTTTATTCGAAGAATAAAAGCTCAATTTAAGATTTGGACAAATGCTTTATGCTGCATCTTAAACTGGAGCGAGAGACGCAGAACTTTATTTTGCTGTTTCTACAGTCTACTTTCAACTCACAAATATTGAAGTTAGAGTCCAAGTGTAAGTGAATTTGGCATGACCTGGTGGTTAATGCACTCGCAATCTGAGAGTAGCGGATTTGAAACCCTGCCACCAAAAAAAAACTCGCCCTTTCAGCCATGGGGACGTTATAAAGTGATGGTCAATTCCACTATTCGTTGGTAAAATAGTAACCCAAGAGTTAGCAGTGAGTGATGTTGACTAGCTGCCTTCCCCCCAGTCTATCACTTCTAAATTAGAGATGACTAGCGCAGATAGCTCTCTTGTAACTTTACGCAAGGTTCAAAATAACTAAATCAAGCTTTTAAGTGAAGTTTGAGACATTCAAGCCAAATCTCAATCTGAACACGTGCAAAACATTTGTAAAAATCTAAAACTCGTGAAAATCTGTATCCCACTGAGAGAACATGATATTGTAAATTTACACTTCTACTCTCCAGATGCACGTGCTATCTACATGACCGAGGTCACTTTCATTGTCAACAAGGGTGGTATATGCTGAGGCCATCATTTGACTTTTTAGTAGAATAGATCACTGGAACTATTTACAGTATATCTTATGATACATCAATCCTTTTTAATGGGGAACACGTGTGACGTTCTTGGTAACTCATCCAGTCCCGTGAGTAACTAAGGAGAGAGAAACTTGGTGGCTCTCTTGACTGACTTTCCATATATTATGAACCAAACCAGAAGTATACTGAATTTTGAAAAATTAATCTAGTAAATAAGGGGACAGAAAATTACGGTATTCTCATACAAGTGGCAAAACATCAAAGGTAAAAGGTATAGATTAGATGGGTTCTCGTATCCCATATGACATACTTAATAGTGTTGTTGCGTCAGCGAGGTCACATGACTAGTGTCGCGCCACGTTTCTAGAACTATCCTGTACCTTGGTGAATGCCCTAGCATTTACTAAATATAGGGTAGTCTGGTATATAAAAGATGGTCACAACGTGACGGGACAACGTGTGTGTAGGTAATGAGTAATTGAACTGCAGTCAGAAAGAGACGTATTGTTGAAGTCTAGCTTGTGATACGTGAATTATAGTATGTTATAGCGCAACTGTTGAAGTTGAGTGTATCGGTAAAGTTATATTCAAAAAGAATAAACCAGTTTTATTAAGTGAGGACTTGTGTCGCTAAAGTTTCATCGGAACGAAGTTACGGAAAATTAATTAACAAACGGAGACGTAACAAATTGGTGTCAGAGAGTGGGATAAAAAAAACGGAAACGAGAAGCGGCAAATCAAACTACAGCCTAGCAGACTTAATGGCAGCAATACAAGAACAGCAAAAGAAACAAGAAGAACGAGAAGAGAAATTACAACAGTTGTTAGAGGAAAAAGAAAAGAAACAAGAAGAACGTGAGAATAAACAAGAAAAGAAACAAGAAGAGAGACAACAGCAGTTGCAAGAAAACCTGCAGCAGTGGCAGCTCGAACAACAAAATAAACAAGAAGAGAGATTACAACAGTTGTTGGAGGAAAAAGAAAAGAAACAAGAAGAACGAGAAGAGAAATTACAGCAGTGGTTGGAGGAAAAGAATAGAAACAAGACGAACGAGAAAGAAACAAGAAGAAAGATTACAGCAGTGGCAAGAAAACCTGCAACAATGGCAGCTCGAACAACAAAATAAACAAGAAGAGAGATTACAGCAGTTGTTAGAGGAAAAAGAAAATAAACAAGAAGAACGGGAAAAGAAACAAGAAGAAAGATTACAGCAGTGGCAAGAAAACCTACAACAATGACCTAGCTGACACTTGCACGAAAATCAATATATTTGAGAATACCACAATATTTTGTGGAATAAGACTTACTAGCGAACGTAGTCTGTAGCAAATGTTATAGTCATTATATCTAAGTAGAACCTGCCGGAGAATTGAACAGGTAACATCAATATATATATTACTGTTTTTACTGTTAAATTACCTGTGTTATGGGGTAAAGGCAGATGCTAACTTTTTAATGTAATTGTTAAGATATTTGACAACTAAGTTAAAACTGTCTACAGAATAACAGAAGGATCAAACATAAATTTAGGAAGTAACCTCAATTTGAAAATAGACCTGAATTTTAATGTATGTGACAGATAAGAAGACTGGATATGTAAAATGTTAAGTGAAACATTGTTTATTGCAAAGCAAAAAAAAAAACAAAAAAAAACAAGCATGCATACTTTCACAGACACAAGATAATCACCTTACTACTTCATTCGCTTGATATAGAACTTTGTAGAATTATTCACTCTG